CGCATGCAATAATAATAATCATATCGCTGCCGGCAGCTTCTCCCCTTAATAGACACAACTATATCAGATGCTTACAAGGGTGTTCGGAGTTCGTATATCAGATCCTCGCTCAGCATCATAGCTAAGGCGCAAACGTCTTTTCTCTGGCTCATAAGAAGAAGATAAAAGCCCTTTTCTTTCTCTGAACTGTTTTTTAGGGAACCAAGTTCACTGCAGGTCCACCTCTCACACCTTCCTGGCAAGAGCAGTGACACCGGATAAAAAGTATTCACTCATTTTGACACCACAGAACTTTAAATTTACACTTCTGTAAATCAATCGCCTTACTTCTACTGGGTGACAGAATCATTTCCGTAGACAACACATCGCCTGTCCCCCCGCCCCTCTCTTACCGAGATGTGGTCTGCCAGCGTCATGACGCGGTGAGTCTTGGGGACTTGGGGGTACATGTCGGCCTGGGAGGAAGGGGGCTGCTGTGGGGAGGGCGACTCCGACTGCTGCCGGTACCGACCCATTTGGGACTCGAACGAGCGCTGCTCAGCTGCAAAACAACCCAGGAAATCTTGTATTAAAACAGCCTTTCCCTGTTCAGGCTTCCACACAAGGTAGTACCATTAACTAACAGCAGGGGAGGGCAACCTAAAGATTTTTAGGGGGCACATGCAATGAAAGTCTAATAGGCCAAGAAGTAAGAACCCCATGAGGAAAATGCACAAAGATTTCAAACCACCGTTGTTTATTTGTGATCTAGGCTATTTTTCAGCATTTGGTTCAACATATCTCTGAGAACAGGTATTTTCACACGTGAAAACAGATCTTTGTCAATCCTGCAGCCGGTTAATACCTCACTTGCAGACTTGTGTTCTGCTTTAAAGTGTCAAGCAACAAGCCCAAGACTGGAGAACTCAGCAAGGGCAAAGATCACAGTAAATGGATAAGACGTGTACCTTAAGTTATTCATTTTAAATATTGCTATATTTTAAATCAACCTGTTATGAATCACAATGTAAGTGGGGCTATTATTGAAATGAAGAAAAGTATCAAAGGCATTCAAATCCGTAATAACAAGCGTATAAGCTAACTCAAGGCACACCCCCTTCTGCAAGGTAGTGGACGCCTGTCCTACAGTGATGCACAGGTTATTAATATATCCTTATTAACAATACATGGAATCTATATGGCTTTTTTACAGCTCTGTGCAGGTCATGCTTGATGGGGCCCTGTGGGTCAGGGACAAAGCCCCTTTCTACCTCCGCCACTCTTAAAGAGCACGTCACAGCCCAAGCCCCAGCAGGGGAACACGGGAACCAAACTCCTCTCATTAGTCAGCTTTAATCATCCCCATCTTATGTACCGTTCAAGGGCACCTACCCTCAGCCTGAGCCGGTTTGGTCATCTCCTGCGAGAAGGAGGTGTCCTGCTTCTCCTGCGACTGTGCCGGAGAGGTGGCAGGGCTGACGAGCTCAACGGCGTCCCCACTGGGTGCATCATACCGACTGGAAGACACTAGATAACAGAACAGAAAACAGAAATG